CCTGCAAACACGCAAGAGACTTGAGCGCACCTGTTTTTTTTTTTTTTTTTTTTTTTTTTTTTTTTTTTTTTTTTTGTCGATTTAATCTCACGCGTCAATTTATAAAATCCGGCGCGAGACTTTCGTGCGTTTTCTCCCGGGAGAAGCGGACAATAAAAGAACTGCGCGTGATTCGTTCGCGCGATAACTAATTAAACGTTATCATTAACGCGTCGCGTTACAATAATTAGAATAATCCTCGCAATTATACACGCAAACGCGTGGGTATACGCGCGCATTTCTCTTCTATTTGCAAATTTTACCGTCAGATTTGTTTTGTCATCCGAAAGTTCTCGTTATATTTTGTAACACCTCCTAGAGACTCTCTCGTTGATGAAACACAATAGCCTCATCAACAACAGGATATATACCGGGCGGCTCTCTCTCTCTCTCTCTCTATCTCTACTCGCGCTTTTATCGTCGTCATTTTTCTTAACGCTCGTCAAAAGACAGAAACGTGATTTCTACATAACCGCATGTGCTGCGCTGCCTGCGCTACTGTTATATACACACACACGCGCGCGCGCGCGCGCGCGCGGCTCGAGTGTGTGACCTAAATAATTGGCCGAAGGTAGTGAACGTGTTGTTACACTTGGACGCGATATCTCGTGGCGTGTTAATGAAAATATATATAACCAGTAATTCACGTATCTATTGAGCAATATAATCCGGCGCCAGGCCGGAATTTTTTTGTTTCGCGACAACGAGAATCTCGCCCGACGAGGAGGAGATCAGCAACGCGCGACATGCAAAAGCAGAGAGAATCCGCGACCGACAACACAATTCGCTCGATCGCGCGAGTTTGTGCGGAATTCGCATTAGCGTTAGGTTCAAATTGAGTTACGCGGTTTACCGTTGTAATAACTGTACGCTTTTACCATTCGGCGCGCAGTGCGCGATGTTAAGAATAATACCAGTGTAATTTTGTAATTAAGGTAATTCGCACAATGTGTTATATTTTTTTGACACGCGTACTCCGAACTCGCGCGTAGCTCTCGTCGTATCGGATATCCGTGTATCATGTGTAGTTGCCGATTGTTCGCGCTCGAAAAAATTTTATATCTACCAACAAAATAAAAAACAATTGAGGCAACAATGTACATACATTATGCACTGAGAAATAATTCATCCATCAAATTTTCGCAAAGCCCACATCTGCATGTTAGTTTCGCCTATTTTTCTCTTCTTCGCAATTTACAACTGAGACAATATACAACACAGAAGTTGGTCGCACTCAAATTACGCGTATATATTTATTAGTCCTCCTCCTATATAAAAAAATCCATGTGTACCGCGAAGTGCGCGTTTTGATATCGAATGTATCGCATCTATTGTTGTCTCTTTTCCGCGTTGCCGATTAGTTGGTTGATCGAGTCGAGTCGAGTCGAATCGAATCGGTAAGATCGAGAGAATAAATAATGACAGAAGAGCGATTTTGACAGTTCGTCGTATACGTGGAGAAAATTAAAAACGTGACTAAAGTAAAGTCACTTGACAGAAAAGAGTAGAAAAACAACACGTGACTATTTAAAGTAACGTGATTGTAATTTATATTATATAACATTAAATAATATATATTATACATATAATTTATTATATATAGTATACAATATATAAAGTATAATATTATACTTTATATTGTATATTATATATATTATGTACGTACTACCGTAAGGTCACTGACCTCGGGCGCGCGACCTTGGGGGGGTCATTGACTTTAGTCACGTGATTATGGTATATATATAGATATGCGTGTGTGTATTATATATAGATATATAGAATATTATATATAATATATATAATATTCTCTGTTTTACTCTTGTCCCTGTCACGTGACTTTAGTCACGTGTTGTTTTTTCATTCTCCCTTTTTTCTTTTATTTTTTGAGTTTGATTTTCACGCGTTATTTCTGACATTTCTCATATGTACATCATGTGTATTATATTGTTTGTAAGACGTATATATTAGCTGTCATCGCGGTGACATGTTGTGTCTACTGACGGAATATGTTAAAATAAAAACAATAGCGTGCGCGTAGCGCGCGTCTGTGATGTGATAGTAGAATTAAAAAATGTGAAGGCAATATAATACATCATAAATAATTCATCGAGCGAAATTTGCGAGTGAAGTTTCTTTTTCGTACGGTGTATAAACACATCGAAATTGCGCCGATCGAACGTACATATATACATATATATACATATCGAAGGTTCGAAGGCAAGCGAAAGTAAAACTGGCCGGTCGTAAGATGGATCGGTTCTTATTTCGAAGCCGAGGAACGGATGAGCTCTCTTCCGATGTTCCGGTGAAGTGAACAATCGGGACGTGGTATATCAGGTGCGATTTTGCGTGTGGATGTGCCAGCCTCTCTTGTGTTGGTTCGCGTTTGTATTTAACGTATCTATATATACGTGTACTTATTATAGCTCTTACACGCGCGCGCATCGATGCAAACAGTTGCAGCACGCGGAACCGCGCCGAGCGTTTCGTGGGAGTTCGGTGAGCCTTAATGAAGCCGCAGCAATACCTGCTTAACTTAATTGTCGACTGCCGCTGGTGCGCGTTTGACACGGCAAGAGAGCGGCTCAGAGAGAAAGAGAGAGAGAGAGAGAGAGAGAGAGAGAAAGACCGTGGAAATCGATGGAAACGGGTATTGGCTTCCGTCGCGGCGGCTTACGGTTTTCATCGTCGTCAATTCGAACATTTACAAGAAGCGCATTATGAGGAAGCCACTTCTAACGATTTATCGCGAGTCTTTCGATTCGCTTCGAGTCAAGAACGGTTTTGAATCGATTTGTCGACACATGCTTGTCCCGATAGCGATCGGGCCTAATTCACGTGCGATTAGACGAGGAGATGTTAGCATCGAGAGTTCAAAACGCATCGTCCGACGAGTGATTTACGTCCCGTTATTCGACGGCTGTTGGTTTCGCTTTGCGCGAAAGACGACGCACGGAGGAGGCGCAACGTACTTAAGCGCGCGACGGATGAAGATTGATTAACGATGTGCAAGTAAATTTATTCTCTCGTCCTCCCGTCCTCGGTGTTCTCTTATCGGTGAATACATTTAAAGCATTCTGTTACTATACCATTTTTTTTATACTCTAAAACGGGAGATCCCAAATGAAGGGAATCCACGATAGTCCCAAGGAGATATATGTTACATAATAATTAGATACATAGTGATTTAAAATTCGTGATACGAAAACAATGTAATTTTTTTTCTTTTAAACTTTTTTCGCGTTTGTATTTTGGGATGCGCGACACACACGGAAAACAAAGATTTGCTAGAATAGCAAGAAATTAGTTGCTATATGGCCAGCAAAAAAACATTTGTTAAGTTTAGTAAAATTTTTGTTTTGCCAACAAAACATTTTGTTGATGAAAAAAAAAAATTTCGTAGGGTCAACCATTTTTTCTTGCCGACCATGTAATGGCAAAACTTTTTTTTTTCCGTGCACGGGTCTCGCCGGAAAGAGATTCGCGAAACGAGAGACGCGTTCAGAAACTCTTGCTCTAAAATGCTAAGCTACGACAAGCTCTCTCTTTCTCTCTCGATCGCATTCCTTGTAATCCTTCCAGCGCGCCGTTCTTCGCGGATTGTTTCGATTTATCGTGAAATCAGTTGACATTTTGATTGCGTCGACGCGTGCACGCGCACCCGACAGAAATTTTTCCGCATAAATGTGACGGAACGCTGGGACACGCTGGTAATAATCACCGCCTTTCACTTACGCGGAATGACCTCCCGCGCCTGCATCGCGTGAATTTACATCGGCGTGAAAGACAGAGTCAATGGACCAAATCCTCTTGATTTCCACTGTCGTCTTCGCACGCGATTCCAATCTAAATCGTGTCACCTGATTTTCTTTTTTCTCTTCTTTTTTTTTTTTACAGCGCGCGTTATCGTCGCGCGTTGCAAAATAAATGTGCGCGGATAATCGTAAGTTATTGCCGATCGGCTTTAGGCTCGGTACACACTTGCAACGTGAGGTAATTACAACGTTAAAAAAAAAAAAAAAAAAAAAAAAAAAAAACAGATCGGATGGACCGACAAAATGTTGGTTAAAAAAATTGTTTCCCGAACAATTGTTTGTTCGTCGCGAACCGATTCTTGCGTGTCCCGCTGTGTTTGTGAGATCGACACGAATAGACGAAAAAGTTGTCCGGCGCAACAGAAAGTTTTGATACGACGCGAAAATATCAAAAGACAATACGCGATGTAACTTCGTAGCGAGTAACATTTGCGTTACGTATTTCAGTGTTTCGCGGTGCGAGAACAAACGGGGCGAGATAGTACATTGTTACACGATATTCCGCGACGTTGTGCAAGTGTGTACCCGACTTTAAGTGACGCAAGCCGATCACGTTGACACGTCGAAGCTACATGCGGGTATCTTTGCGCAAAAAATGTCTTTGCGAATTACGCGTCAAGAGACTCGCAGTCGGAGAGAACAAGCAACTGAAGAGGAAAACTACAATCGTATTTTTCTTCTGTGCGAAGTTCATGCGTCGGACATGATTTTTAATTGTTTTTTTTACATTGTCCTTCGTCACGACTCGATCGCGAGGTCGCGTTCTTGGCGGCTTAATTAGACTATCTTATCTCCGAAACAATGCGCGCTCTTCAACGTTCTTCTTTCTTTTTTTGCGACGACGCCACACGACGAGTTTTTCCTCGTCGGAAAAATAGTTCGTGTTGAGCGAAAAGAGAGAGGAAGTTACGCAAATAAGGAACATCCACGTCCGTTTCTCGCGATTGCCCGTCAACTGGTAATGCGTGTGCGAGCGTCAACTCTAAGTTAGCGGTACAAATCATTGTTTACGACGAGAGAACACGGTGACTTCTCCGACGCGGTCATTTTCACTCGTCACAGATTCCTACTGACCGTGTTCGAGATGAACGACGAGGAAAGCGATAAATATTTTTAATGGATTATAAAGCGCGAGAGATTGCCGACAGGCCTCGTCGAATTTCGCCGGCGCGTCACTCGATTGATCGACGCGCGAATTTCTACAAGAGCGCGCGCGCGCGCTTTTCGCGTCGCGGGAAACCCTCGTTTGTTTAATTAATCAATCGAGAACAAGATGCAATTTCGTAAGCGTATTATACGTTCAACGTGTACACTACCGTATGAATCAAAGTGAACATTCACACACACACACACACACTCACACGAGTCTGAAGATAAGAAAAACTTACTCGTGTAACGATGACCATCTCTTAAGTCGTGGTTGTCGCTCCGCCTAAAATCAGACAACAAAAAACATATATGATCGAACTGAAGTCACGTATTCGGACTCGCTGCGCAAGTTCGGTAATAATGAAAAAAAAAAAAAAAAAAACTCACTTTGGCAACCGCGGATAAGGTGAGCGTTCCATCAATGACCGGACGACAAGTGCCGGACATTTATTAGAGAAATAATTTGTAACCGAGTATTTGCACACGTTTGAAGTTAGAAACGATTATTTAAAAAAAACATATCTTAAAAAATTAATTAAAACATTGAGAATTGTTTAATATTTCACACATGTCTATACACAATAATGATTTATGTCTTTAATAAACGTCCGGTCCCCAATTGGTGCATGACCGGAATTCATTTGGGGCATTTACCTTACTAGTGCGTAAAATATAAATTTATTTCTTTGAGTGAGAGAACGCAACATATATGTACCAAAAATCCCAGTCTGTTTCTTTCTTTTTTATTTCGTACATATCCAACAGCGTCTTCGGTTCGTTTCGCGTGTTTCGGTTCGACATTCGTTTAAAAACGAATTTGCTTTGAGAATTTTTGCTGTGTAGCACGAGCTCGTCGGTATTCCGAGATTCCGACAAATATACGTGCGCGAACACGCGTGTTGCTGCATCTATTCCGGGGAAAAGCATCATCCCGGCGCGCACGTCTGGTCGATCACCGTTAGCGTGGAAGCGAACAGAAACCTGTTCGCAAAAGTGGGTTAGACAGTCCGTATATCGCGCCGAGCCATACGGCCCCGAGACGAGATCTCGTCGAGAATCACCGCGCGAGAGATAAATCTCTCTCTCTCTCTTTCTTTCCCGGCGTAAAAGCCATCAATTCCCGATAGACACGTATTATTGCGGACCGTCGAACCGTGATGGTATCCGATGAAAATCAAAAGGAAACAGCACTTCTACATCTTCTCTTTTCGTTGCGAAAAAGATCGACGCGTGTCGAGCGCAATTTTTCGTAATTCGCTCTTGCGCGCAATTTTGGCGCACAACAATTTAATTTTTTTACATGTCTTTTGTCATTTTTGCGGAATTTTATAGTTTTCTTGGATGGATATTCGCACGCGAATTTTAATTGAGAAGAAAACGGTCTCGTGATTTCATGCGAATATCGCATAATAGCCGCTTAAGCTTCTTCTCACGCCGACGCGCTCTATGTGTGTGTGTGTGTGTGTTACCATTGATAAGATCTAGATATAATATGCCCACGCGGATAAAGACCGATTTCCCCGAGTCGCACGGCATTGACAGAGTTTATTGAAGCGAGGAGGATACAATTCTCGTGGCATAAAATGCGATCAGAGATGCGCCGGTTCGCGCTTGGCTGCGCGATACAATTTACAGTGGAATATGACAGAGGGTAGGGAGGAAAGAGGGAAAGGAGGGTGGAGAGAAAAGTTATTGCTCGCGTAGAGATTAGGTCTTGTGCGAAAATAAAGCGCGCACTTTGCATTGTCATCGGACAATTTGCTCTCGGCGGAGAAATTGAATTTCTTGAATTCGAGTGGAGCGAGCTGGTGCGCGATGATGTGATGATGGATTTAGATCGAGAGATTCTCGGACCGAACCGAAGATGGATGACGCCAAAGATTGATCCTTACGATATATATATATATATATATATATATATATATATATATATATATAGACACGATTTGTCGAATGCCTTCTTACATCACATGGAATTTTTTGAGATAGAAAACTTATTTAATTATTATATTACAGAATAAAAATTATATAAAAGAATAAAAAATAATTACGTGCAATTACGGTTTCTATATTAAAAAAATTAAGGTAACAAAAAAAAGGCTCCTAGACAGTGTGTCAATTTTTTATATATTTGTTACATCTCATGATAAATTCACGGATTAAAACACCAGCGGTCTGGATATCTTTTTCTCGTTAATTAAATTTTTAATTAAAAAATCTCATTCGCCGTTACACTGTTTCAAACCTTTGAAAAGCTAAGAGTAACTAAAAGATAACAAACTTTTGTATTGCTTCCGATAAATCTTTTTGCGATATCGCTGTAACATTAAATTGCGAATACGCGCTATGCGTGCGCGTGCTCAAAACACATTTGAATCTTCAAGAATCACAGATATCTCGCGAATGGGCGCGTGGCATTATTCGCGCGATCGAGTGTTTTGCCGTCCGACCCGAGAGAAGTCACGTTTCGGTTTTATCCTTCGCGCGCGTCCTGTTCCGGTTGTTAACGGTGAGAAAGTGTCTTATCCTCTCGCTCACACACCCGACAATTTTAAAAACACTTGCCCGTCGCCCCAGACAGAAATTCGTGATGAATGGAATTACGGGCGGAAAGAATAGAAAATTTACATTGAATTCTCGCGCGAACGCTAGATATATAGTTTCGCGCGGATGCGGAATCTAATTCGTTATTACTACGAGGCGATCAAGAAATTGTCAGTTTTGTCTATGAGCGCACGTAACGTGGGACACCCGCGTGTCTCTCCGTGAACTTGACGCACGGGCGTGAGCACAGTCGCAGTCATTGACTTTGAAAATATCTGTGGAGAACGGTCAGTGGCGTAGCGCCACGCGCGAGCGTGGAGACTTTAACGGGTGATCAAGTGAGACGCGCGACGGAGGAACCCGTACAACTTTATCCTGTAGTCTCCCTGTACGCAGGAATGTATTCATCGATAAAATAAGCTAAGCCCCACGCAATAGTCTGGAATTTTTAGTGATACGAAGATGTCTGTTTTAAATATAATGGAAATTGTGTGTGTGCGTATGAGTAGTATGTAAATTTATATCGTAAAAAAGGAAACAACACACGCGCGAAAATAAAAAAAAGAAAATTTTTTAAGACAAATTTAACAACAAATTACAGCTCATATAATATCAGCGAATTCGGTCGTGTGAGCTAGATGCGAAATATATTTTTTATTTTATTTTCAAACACGGAAATAAATACACATAATAATTTGAATTAAATTCAATTTGAAAATTTTATTTAAAAAATGCTTTGTTTGCGTTACGTATGACGAATACTCAATTTACTCCTTCCGTGGAAATTAAACAATCCATTGCGAAAAAGACACCTTGGCCAGGAGTCAAATTCGCATTTCGGATAAAAAGAAATGTTTCCAAAAACACTTTTACTATTAATATATTTTTACTGTGCTTTATATTCTTGTACGTTTTAATTAATTTATTGGAATTAATTATGGTACTTATTTAATTATTATATTACAGAATAAAAATTATATAAAAGAATAAAAAATAATTACGTGCAATTACGGTTTCTATATTAAAAAAATTAAGGTAACAAAAAAAAGGCTCCTAGACAGTGTGTCAATTTTTTATATATTTGTTACATCTCATGATAAATTCACGGATTAAAACACCAGCGGTCTGGATATCTTCCACCGCATTACGCAAAACGTGTCGGATTTAACGTTTTCGTGACATTTCATTCCGACAAGTAAATTGAAGGAAGTGATATTGCAGGAAGAAGGAGACGCGCTCGTCCGAAGGAATGCGACAGATATCGGGACGTGTGCGATTAGCAATTATTGTATTGCGAACGCGCATTCTCTGAAGAATCGGCTCGTCATTAATTTTATCTCATCATCACACTTTTATCTCTTACTACTATCGCGGCACCTACCGAGCTCCTCGTATCAGTCGCGGGAATTTGTCACGCTTTTTTTAATATCAACGTCACCGCACGTCTCATCGCCGAGATAAGGTCCATTTAAGTCTCGTAGACGTAATAAAGAAAAACGTGGAACACGAGTTTAGCTAAATGGCCGTCTGTTCTTTTGTTTCGCGATTCTCGCGTTCTCAGCCAGAAACAATTCTCCGATTATTGTTGCCGATAATCATAAATAAATACGATAATTACAAACAGGATTGAAAATCACTCAATGATTGGACACTTCGTGTCCAATTTTCTTTTTCGAGAGTTTTCCCAAAGGATTTCAAATTGTCATAAAACAATCTAAAGTAAGTCAAGTCAAAAAGCATATAGACAAAACTGTTAACAACTACAGAAAAAAATCAATAAGTGCAAATCGTTCAAGTCTTAATTGGGGACCGGTGTATAAAAAATTAATTAAAATTCAATTTCAATCACTTTTGCGAACGGGATGATTCGCGCTTCGGTTGTTGAAATTATGTGTCACATTCTTCCACCATGTATCTCCGAGATAAGAGTTTCACAAAATTTCGTTAATACGAGAAATTGAAAATATATATTTTTGAAAACAAATAAGGAAGGTCAAACTTCCGTGCGGGAGAACGGTTGGTTTTTCAAAAACGAGCGTTTTTCACATCTCATATTTGGAAGTTTTATTTTCATCCGATTTTTCAGGAGGAGATATTTCGCAAGGAGAGTCGCAATTTATCCTCGTTGAAGAAGAGACGAGTTTCGTCGCGAGATGTTTTGAATATTTTCCTCTCGAAGCAGATTCTCCTTTTTCCCAGCGTGTGGGAAACAACAAATAAATACAAATTCTCCGAACTCCGAACTTTGTCGTGCGATCGCACGCGCTCACCGCCGAAACGAGCGAACTGGTATCCTCCTCCTCCGTGGTGCGTGCTTCCGCTTCGTTCATCCGAAATACACACGTCCGGCCCTCATGGTCGCAGGTCTCCCCGCTCCGGAATAATAACTCGCATAATGCGGGAAACGAGACAAAAATCGAGCATCGCCGAGGCGACGGAGATAGATCGGAGATCCCGCACTCCTCTTTGTCGCGCGTGTGAATTCTTCCAAAAAAAAGAGAAAGAACCTACCTGTTGCGAGTAACGAGAAACACGACGAAGAGCGGCTGCTTGCTACAAGTCGGCGGCACGCTCCATTAAGAGGCACAAAACACACTGGCACTGTTGCACACTGTTTCCGACGCGGCAACGAGCAGCTCGTTTCTCATGTCCGATCCCTTTCAGGGGTCCCTTCTCGGTCCCTTCGTAAAGACGGCAGACCGATCGAGAGGATCCGAGCGGAAATACAGCGCACGGAGAATAAAAAAAAAAAAAAAAAAAAACTACAATCGCGAGATCATGCGGAGCACCACGAGCAGCAGCAGCAGCCGGCGGCCACGAAGAGCGGTCGTCGTCGTCGTCGTCGTCGTGGTCGTCGTCGTCGTTCCGGAGGATGGGCTACGGTGAACCGGCACATTAACACGTCCCGCTCTCTCGGCGAGCTTCGGTTCGGATCGGGTGTGCCAGGTGGAAGCTGGCCAGAGAGACGGATAGAGGTGGTAAGGCCGCTTTGCGCGCTTTCAAGAACCGCTTCGGGCTTCCCCACTGTGCGAGTGCAAAGCACTCTCGTGACGAGGGGCAGTCGTACACCAACCAACTGTGACCGACCGACTGGCGCTGGTCTTCTCCGCCAGGTAACAACGCAGGTATGAGCGCGCGCGCGCGCGTATGTGTGTGTGGTTGCGCGCTATTATTATTGCACACCAACCTGCCTTTACCTGCGCCTTACCTGGCACCGTACAGCTCGCGCGACCTGTTGCGATCGGAAATCGACGTGCGCGCGCGCTATCGGCCGCGACCTGTCTTGTCGACGAAAGAAGACGAAATTGCGAGCGATATCTTATTATTTTTTAAACGAGCTACAACGAGAATGACAAAGCGCTCGTTGAGCGATCGACTTAAACAAAAAACCAATGTAGTATAGTAGAAAATACACGAACAGCTGTTCGAAGAGACTAATTACAGAAATTATACCAGGTGTGCGAGAAAATTAAACGCAACGAAACGATTTGGCAAACTGAGCGTGAAACTGAAAAACGTACAGAAAAAAAAAAGGCAAACAAAAAAATTAAGCGATACTTAATAATTTTATTACACTCGTATGTGAAGATAATAAGATATTGGTATTTTTTTATATAATTTGTTTTTTTGTATATAATTTTGTTTCGAATAAAAGTATTTTCTAAAAAAAAACCTTGTTTTTTGTTTTTTATCAGTAGCCGAGTAATCGGTTAAAAACGGCTTATCAGTTGGAAGATTACAATGTGTGTTACTTCGTCGTATTTTTTAATTTTTGCCGAACAGAGAAAAGTTAACGAGAGACGCTTCGGCGATATTGTGTTTTACATTGAAAATATATTTTTTCATCACTTTTATATATCAATCCGACATGATTAGGATACAGTTATAGGTTTTTTTTTAATCGCTTCTTTTTACATTTTCTCCTCGTAACTTACATGCGAGAACTCTATTAGTCTTTAGCGACGCATAGAAGGTATAATTCATATTTGCTCTCTGTCGGATTTTTTTACGCGTACAACTTGTTCGACGAGTGCGATTTGTTTCGCCCCCCAAGGTGAAACGATTTTGTGTGTGTAAAGTGTGTGTTTGTTTGTTTGGTTTTTTCGCGTATAACGGGTTAAACGTTTTACACAATAAGAAGCACATACATGTGTTATTTTCTCCGAATAGAATAAACACGTTTACACATACACATATACTTTTTGTCGTTTAGCAAAACATACAAAAACTGCGACAGTACTTTATCCGTAGTGTATTCTCTTTTAGTCGAGCTTACAAATATATGTTTGTGTAGTTTCTTTCATTCGATAGACAGTTTATTCGAATTCGCGCGAATTGAATTTCGCACGAATCCGGCTACTCAAAATGCAAGATTTATCCTGCGAATAAATCCAGGCGCATTTTGATAACAAGGTTGATTTCTCCGGCATCGCGATCGCGCGAACATCTATCTCCTTATTTCTCCATTTCGCGGAAAACGCGGCGCAGAAATCACGGCGACGCCGATCGCCATTGGAATAATACACGCACGTTCAGGTACAAGATATGCATTTCGTATGTATATGTACATTGTGATCGAAGAGGTGAGGAAACGAATCGAAAAAGTTCGCGCGACTCTCATTGGTACATGTAAAAAAATGAAAAAAAAAACAACGTGCCGATACCATAAGGGAATTTTTCTTTCAACGGATATCAAGTTTCCCATGGAAGCATTATCGCTATGAGTTAGATCTGGGGGTCTTGGCCGCTTTGCTACTTTTGCTACTTTTTTTTTTTTTTTTACAAGATTGAAAATCTTGATCTCGATCTGCAAAATCTAGATACATGGAGGTAACACATTATTTATTAACAAATAAATTATATACTTTTACGTATCGCAACAAAATACAAGAAATTCGTTACCTTTGGGCTAATTAGTTTTTTTTTTTTTTTTGCATAGCTTGTACCTACTTATTGTACTTGAGAAGACTTCGGTTGGTCAAAAAAGTAGCCAAATATACTATTTCTCAACAGCGGATACTTTCTTGTCCGGTTTTTTATATTCTCATAAAAAGACGATGCAGTATAATATTAAACAAACGTGATTCGTATAACAAATAGGACTAGTACTTAGTACGAGATATATATCACTTATATTCGAATTGGTTCGAACGTAGTACAGTTGTAAGGGTTTGTATATATATATATATGTTCAACTTACTGATGACTCACAGCAGCAGGAAGTAATGCACAGAAGAAACAAATTTAGAATTTTATTTTATATAGCTATTATATATATATATATATTTCCTTATATTCTATTTTATAATTATATAGTAGATAAAACACATTAAAATAGTTAATGCGCGCTTATACACGATTAGTGAGTTGTCGACTACTAAACTAGACTCTTGATGTTATTCTTTCGTTGAAAATATGTTTAGTTGTGTGTAGTGCTGGATGTAACAGCGCGAAGATACCTCAACAGTAACAAAACGTGCAAAAATTCGCTATATATATACACATTTGCAAGATCGTTTGTTTAAATATGGGCTTTCCAATTCACCGCTATACGTATGTGTGTTTTTTTAATGAGTTTCAGAAAATGGAGAATTAATTGATTCTGAAGTAAAAAAAGTATCTATTTTTACAACAATTCAAATTTACGTGGTTTGCCTGTACGTAAATCTTTGTTTACAATTTTTTCTTTCAAAAGTGATTTAACACACAGTACGTGTTTCTATGTTGCGTGTCGTGATTATCTAACATTCATTTTTTCGAGAATCAAGAAGAACCCACGTACGTTGCATTCGAAGTCTATTTATTTGTGTACAAGTATAGCGTTGCACGAATATTTTTCTGGGAAGTAGAATTTTACTAACATGATCTTCTCAGACGATAACTCACTACTGAAATAACGCGCTTGCCCTGTATTTCTCTCTCTCTCTCTCTCGAATTATTATCTGTTATCTGATGCGAGAAAATATATATATATATGTGTGTGTGTATATGTGTATATGTGTGTGGATTAAGCATGCTAATATTATCACTGATAAACTGACCGATCGCTCGCGATCTACATTCTATCGGAACGGCTCTCTCGTTACACAACGGACCATATCGCGCGCGCGATTCAGCAATCTGACGCAATTATATAATCACAAAAATAGGTTCCGGAATATATAATTCCGAGTATGACGATATATGTGTCAATTTGATTTGCAACATTTTCCGTTTTTTTTTCTCATTCCGAGCCATACATACGTGGAAATTCACTGAAAGAGCGCGGACACGTCCCAGATCTTGATCACGCGATCTTGGCCGATGGTCAGCAATCTTCGTCTAGGAGCGTCCAGATCCATTCCGACAACGCTGTGCTTGGCATCGTGAAACGACGCCAAGGACGTTTGACTGCGCGGAAAAATAAATTTATTAAATTTCATTTAAGCGACAAGTATCACACACAAGTTGTGTCCCGAGCAAAACGGAAAGCAAACGTTCTTAACTCACTTCTCGGATTTAAGTTGTATGTGACACTGATCGCAGACTCTAACTTCAAACTCGAAGCCCATTGTAGGTATCGGTATTCGTTGTGACGTGCAGCGGGCGCACAATGCGCGACCGCAATAACGACAATGATGCTGCCTTAGTCCTAGTTGTCGTTGATCCATCATTGCTTTTATATTCCAGAAGAACGGTCTTCCACACGCCTGGAGAGATGTTATTTTAATTATATATATATACGGCAATGTGTCACCAAAGCGAACAATCATATGAAAAAGCAAAAATCTTGCACACATACCTGACAGATATCAGACTCGACCCAAGCTGCAGTTTCTTTTCTATTCGCTGCCATGTTCCAACAGACGATCACGCCGTCCTCGCCTCCCGACAGAAGCAAACGTTCTTCACTTGCGTAGCACAATGCCTTCACTTTGTTGCTGCAAAAATTTCAGAGCATATTCGTTTTAAACTATTCAAATGCAACATTTCGGACAAATCAAAGCTGAAGTAATTTTTTTTTTTCGCGTATACTCACTGATGACCCTGGAGCTCGTAAGCGGTGCCCTGGCGACCGCCAATGTCCCAAACAATAATACTTTGATCAAAACTTCCGGAGAACAACAACTGTTTTTCAAAGTCCCATGCCAACGTGTGGATGCTCCCGGTATGCGCCTTTAACGTCGTGATAAACGTGACACCGCTATTGTCCAGCTTTAACATTGCTATCTGACCGGAATAATCTCCCACGAAAGCATGTTTAGACTGAGAATCAAATCTGTTCGCATGTGAGTTAAGCTTCTTACATTGTAAGTGTTGAAAATTTTCCGCAAAACCATCATTTATTTGTACAATATACAAAACTTATGTAAAAAAAGAAAGGATACTGCAACGCGGTGTACCACGCGTCTGTTTGATAAGATCCGAGTTTCTGTCCTGTCTCGGAACTGTGTAGTAGAAATAATTTGTCACGACCTATACTCAATACCCATTCGGATTCCGGTGCAAGAATGATTCCCGTGACTCTCGCCTGATGAGCCAGATACTCGCGCATCGCCGTCATTCGATTGTAATCTTGCTCCAAAATAAATTCCTGCAATTACAAAGTGAAATATTCCAAACTTGCGCAGATATGCATGCAATTCTGAAAAAAAAAAAAAGATAAAACAACATACACTTATGCTTCCATTATCCAGGCCAACAAACAGTTGTCTTGTTTCTACACAATAGTACATGGAGGTAGCACCTGCCGGCATGTATTGACAAATGCTGGGCCAATATTGGCCAGAATCTCGCTTCAGCCATACTCTAACTGTCCTATAAAAGAATAAAAATTGAAAATCACAAGCATATTATAATCAAATTATCATGGAAACAATAAAATATTCAAAAATTATAATATGTATTAAAAAAAAATTGTGATATATATAATAAAGTAACAAACTTTATACAAGAGCTTTGTTTTCTTCCATGTATGTGTACATACATATATATATGTATATCAGTTTTTAGTAGCACACGATGATATAATTCCACACATTTTTATTAATGCCTGTCACATAAGATAAAGTAATTTTTGTAATGCACCCAACGCGATGCATACTAATTTTGTTATCTTATCTTATCCAGCTAACAACATAATTTTTCTGTGACTCATTAAAATTATAAATTTCTTCTAATTTAACGAACACTCTCCAAATAAGACAGACGTGAATAATAATAACACGGAAGAAAAAACGGTGGCTTAAGGTGTGTCCTGAAAAGTTGATGATCGTGACATTTTAATATCACGGCAATATACTTTAACGGGTATATCTCCGCTTCCGTCGCTCTTAGGAGCGATCGATGACAAAGACGCAATTGTCGACGACGTGTACAAAAGCACGTATGTTCTCGCCGAGAATATACACACGGAGAAAAATCAGAGATCACACATACCTGTCATCGCAAACACTGATTACACCCTCTTCCCGCGGGATGATGACAGCCGCGTTCACGTCGTCGCTGCATCCCTCCAACTTGGATAGGAGCACCGGTTTGCGGCTGTTGCTGAATCTGTCGTGATTCACTCCCGGGGCAGGCTTGATTTCCGCTGCCATTTCTCAGAGACGCGCGAACGTAAATCCGCAAACGCGATTGTCATTTGACAGTTGTCGGTCTTCGATGCTGACCGCGGCGCGCGCGTTACCGAAGACGGAAGACCCGCTTCAATTCCTGCGACATGGTGACGGACGGACAAACGTCGTGGCGCGCTTTGTGTCCTGGTTTCCATTCCGCCATTATCTAGGAAGTTACACGTTTCTGTTTTGCGCGACGTGTGCCGAGGCGGGTCTCTAGAAAGCGTATCTTCTCATTGGATCGCGAGAACGTTCGAACGCGGTGACACCAACAAAAGCGAGCTAATTTACCGGACAATTTGTTATCTCATTGGATATCGAACAATCTAGGAAATTTATTCGTTTTTATAGTTCTCTGAGAGCACCACTGATCTCTATAATACCAGAGAGAAGTCTAAGAGCGACCAGGTCCATAAAGCCTCTTGCACAATGGATAGAATAGCGATAGCAATAGAAATAACAAAAGTTTTAAAGAGTTTATATTTAAAAATAAAGGTAGGAACAGCGGAATCTAACATACAAAACTACACATGTATCAATGCAGATCAGAAAATCGGAATAAGTAATATCGATAAAATTTCCGACGAGTTGAAATTCTGTGTTAAAAAATGTGTTATTTCTATCGCTATCGCAATTCCTTCCATTGTGCAAGGGGCTTAAGAAAATGTGTAATCACTTTTCCGCCCCGTAAACTAGCGCCATGTACACGGGTGGTACCCATTGGAACTACGCAGCCAGTCAGCGAGCGACATGTCGGTGCGCTATGTCCACAGCGTGCGGTTCTATTCTGTGCTATGTGCACGAGTTTAAATGGTCACTTTCTTTAAGTGTGCGAGTATATTCGAGAGCGTGAATTTAATTTTTTTTTGAAATTTAAAATGACCGATCTCGCGATGAGAAGATGAGAAAGGAAAACAGAAAAGGATAAGAAAAACCATTGCAACTTTCCGTACAACATAAATGTGATATACAAGAAAAGATGTGATAGTCAAAAAAAGAATCTTATTTTAGCGAGCAACATCAGAATTCGTGGAGTGTAGTCAAATATCATCTCCTTTTACATCATCATTTGCTGCTCTGTGCTTGATAAATTTTATTTTATTTTCTTAAAAACACTACATATATATATATAGATACAAAATACATAAAAAACCATGTATATTATACAAAGGTGTTTTAACGGTACACAAATATAATGTCTGAAAAGTTGCAATTCCAAGAAATATAGCTTTTGCTTTTTTATTTAAAACTCTTTATCAGTGAGTTTTCTATTTCCAAGTTTCATTTTACAATTTTTTTATACATATTACAATAGAATACAATTCTATTACACATTTATTACATAAAACATACAATATAATACAATATAATATAAATAGTTATATATAATCCTACCTACCTACCTATCTTAGACATATCTTAAACGTTACTAGCGTTATTAATTAGGATTAAGGCTGCGTAACAGCCTTGATCCTAATTTTACATTTTGATTTCTCCCTACTTATCCGGTCTAATATATTTCCTAACATATTTCCTACCTACCCGGCCTAATTTATTTTCTACAAGCG